TTAGGGGTTCAGGGTTGAGGTGTGTAGGGTTTAGGGTTGAAGGGTTTAGGATTGAAGGGCTTCGGGTTGAAGGGTTGAAGGGCTGAGGGTTTTGGGCATGCTTTGTGGGACTCTATCTTGGACCCCTCAGGGTTTGGGACCCTGCTCAGCATCCCCTTAAGGGAATATGGGGTTTAGGGTTTAGGGTTTAGGGTTAGGGTTTGTGTCTTGTTGAACCCTAAACCCTAAACTGTGAACCCTACAACTTGGGATGTTCCCCCTTGTACTAACAATCCTTCATAGGCAGTTTTGGACCCCCATTCTTCAAAAACCTTTTGAAAAGGACTGCTAGTATAAGGGGAGCATCCAACCCTACAACCCTTAAACCCTACGTTTGCAAAAAACGAAGGGGAAAAAAACAAACAAAAAAACACTAAAAGCAATGCTGCCAGAGCAGAACGTGCGCAGAAACACGCATGCACAATCCCCTAAGCCCTAAACCCTAAACCCCAAACCCTAAACCCTAAATCCTAAACCCTAAACCCTAAACCCTAAACCCCAAACCCTAAACCCTAAACCCAGTCCTCAAGTCAGGAACCTGATGAACCCTCAAAGCCCCTAGCTCTACTTGAAGGTTCATGGTACTTACTAACCACTTATAACCGTACTTAACACCCTACTTATAATTGGGATAACCCCTATAAGGCCCTTTAGGGGTATTATAAGTGGGGTTATAAGTACAGTTATAATTGGTTAGTAAAAACCCTACTTATAATACCCCTAAAGGGCCTTATAGGGGTTATCCCAATTATAAGTAGGGTTATAAGTACAGTTATAATTGGTCAGGTAGGTACCATGAACCTCCAAGTAGGGGTTCCACCTTGGACCCCTCAGGTTGGGCCCTTGGGTTTTGGGGGACCCTTGTCTTCAGTAACGTAGCATAATTGGGGTTTAGGGTTTAGGGTTTGGGGTTTAGGGTTTAGGGTTTGTTTAGGGTTTGTTTAAGGTTTAGGGGTTACATATTAAGGGGAACCTTTAGGGGTACAACCTTAGGGGTACGTGTCTTAATCCCTTGACTAGCCCTAAACCCTAAACACTAAACCCGAAACCCTCAAAAGCCCTGAAGCCCAAGAACGCTAAAACCTCTAAAACCTCGAAAGCCCTGAAACCCCAAACCATGATTCATAAAGCCCAAGGCCCCTAAACCTAAAAGCTCTGGTTTAGGGTTTAGGGGTGTGGGGTAGTGATCCATACAACCTAAGGCCCCTGAAAACCTCAAATTGAAACCCAAAAACCGTAAAGCCGTAAAACCCCACTTCCTAACCAAGGGGTCGGGGTTTAGGGTTGGGCTTCACGGCTTAGGGCCCCCTAAAGGCTAACCTAAACCCCTTGATAAGGGATTTAGATTGGGATGTTCCCCCCTTATAGTACCAGTCCTTACTGGAGATTATACTACCCTTAAAACCTAAACCCTAAACCCTAAACCCTAAACCCTGAACCCTGAACCCTGAACCCTAAACCCTAAACCCTAAACCCTAAACTTCAGGGTTTAGGGTCAGAGCCGCGCCTCCCGATCCGGCGCAAAGCGCCGCCAAACCCGCAAAGCCTTTCAAGCTTTGGTCTAGGCTCGCATGGGCCCTTACTTGGGTTCAGGGTTTAGGGTTTAGGGTTTATTTAGGGTTTAGGGTTTAGGGTTTCGGGTTTCGGGTTTAGGGTTTAGGGTTAAGGGTTCAGGGTCTAGGGTTGAAGGTTCAAGGGGGTCCGAAGTATGTGCCCTTGAATTTGGGGACTCTATTATATAACCCGTATGTACACTTTATGTATTATGTACGAAGCACCCGTACTTCGGATCCCTATGAACAATTGTATACGGGGCCATACTAAGAGCCCATGGTTCAAACTCAAACCTTAGATGTGGGCTGGGTTTAAGGGCTTTAGGCTGTAGGGTTTAGGGCTTTGGGGTTGCAGGGCTTTAGGGCTTCGGGCTTTTTTTAGGAGCTTTGTGGGTCTTACGGGGGTTTATGGGGCTCCAGGGCCTATGATTTTCCAATAAGATCTCGAGCTCCAACACTGCAAGCCCTTAAACCACGAAGCCGGATCATGCCCTGGGCCCTAAACCCTAAACCCTAAACCCTAAACCCTAAACCCTAAACCCGAAACCACCCTAAACCCTAAGCCCTCAGCCCTAAAACCCCTTGGGCCCCTAAACCGGGTTGGGGGGGGGGGGGGGGGGGGGGCATCGATGTCCGCCTGGGAGGGGTCAATCCAGGTTTGAAGTGCTATACAGTCGGCTTTAAGCTCTTTGGGGGGTTTAGGGTTTAGGGTTTAGGGTTTAGGGTTAGGTTTAGGTTTAGGGGTAGGGGGTTAGGTTCGCGACCCCTGCGGAGTGTTGGATGGGAAACGGAGCCTCTTTCCTCAATTACCCCCCAAACCGCGGGGGGGGGGGGGTAGGGGGGCGGTACCGGGCACAGCTTTTTCCATGGAGGGCAGGACCCACACCGCATAAATCACGGGACCATAGGGGTTTCGCAAGGACCTTTGGGCAAAAACCCGCCCACACCTCACCCCCCCCCCCCCCCCTACCCCCTACCCACCCCCCCCAACCCCCCCCCCCGCACCCCCCCCCCCCGTGTTACCCCCCCCCCCCTACCACTACCCCCCCCTCCCCCCCCGCCTCCCCCTACCCCCGCCCCCCCCTACCCGCCCCCTACCAATTGATGGGGCTGCCCTGGCAACGTTTCACAGAGGCTCAAGCACATCAACTTTTTTGGCATCCTTTGACCTGACGAGCGCGTTTAAACCTTTCAACTATGCTCCAGCGGGGTCGGCGGCTTGAGCCGGAGGCTCTTAATTTAGGGTTTGAGGGCCGGGTCTCTGAACCAACCACCCTAGCACCCCGAAACCTTGAACCCGAACACCCCAAAACCCCTAAGACCCTAAGCCCTAAACCCCGAAACCGCTTAAAACCCCTCAGCCCTAAGGCCCCAAAGACCGTAAAACCCCTGAAGCCCCTAAACCCTAAAACCTAAAGCCCTAAACTCTGCATAAACCCTGCCCCTAAACCCCTAACCCCAGCACCTAAACCCTAGAATCCCGAAACCCTAAACCCTAAGCCCTAAACCTTGGAGTCTCTAAACCCTAAACCCGGACCTTAAAACCTTGGACTCCCTAAACCCCAAACCCCAAACCCTAAACCCCAGAATCCCTAAACCCTAAACCCTAAACCCTAAACCCTAAACCCTAAACCCTAAATTTAAACCCTAAACCCTAAAACTAAACCCTAAACCCTAAACCCCGAAGCCCTAAGCCCAGCCTTGGCCCAGTCGGCGGCCGCCACGAGCTTTGCCAGGGCCGCCTCTGCAGCCTCCTTCTCTGGGGGCCACCTGGGCTACGGTTTAGGGTTTAGGGTTTAGGGTTTAGGGTTTAGGGTTTAGGGTTTAGGTTTAGGGTTTAGGGTTTAGGGTTTAGGGTTTAGGGTTTAGGGTTTAGGGTTTAGGGTTTAGGGTTTTCGCTGCGAGTGCGCTTCGACCCCCTCCATGAAGTGGTTGGGGGTCGGCGCATGAGCTGCAATGCCCGCCCGCCCACCCAAATTTCAAACCTTGTACGGGTTTAGGGTTGTCTACCCCCCAACCCCCCTATCAAGGGGGGATAAGATACTTTTGTGGATTTGCATTTGCAGGTGATGATCAAGTGTCATAAATGTGTTCGCCCGGGTTGCTTCTGTGAGAGTCAAGATTGCTTTGGACAATGACAACTGACAGGCTTGGCAACTGAATTGCAATTCTCGCACATTTTGCTGCTCGCGAGGCCTCATCCTCAGAGTTTCTGACCGAAATGGTCTGTGCAGCGTGCCTCTCGCGTCTGTACCTTCTGCCAGCGTCTCTGCACTATGCGCGCAGGATGGCGCTTCAAAGAAAGGTTTGGATGTCTGGCCAGGTGCACAGCGCAAAATAGAAGTTGTGATATTGAAAGACCAAATAAATGCATTCGCAACTGTCTGTGTACTCAGGCCCACGTAGTAGTGAATCCCAGAACTCAGTACTCACGAAGAAGCGCGCGTTGCCTTCGACAAGCTTGTCGCGTACAGTTTGGAACGCTGGATCTTTGCACCAAGCTTCGTCGTGCTGGCGGTCGAGCTTCTCGAGCACCTCCAGAAATTCTTTGAAGCTGTTGCCTTCAATGATCCCGACTCCGAAGTTCAGGCACATTGCAACGTGTTCGCGGTATTCCCCTGCATGGGTGTTGTCAATGACAAGCTGGCCGACTGGGGAAGGCAGCGTGAGGGGCAGCTTGTCGTCACGCAGAAGCTGCAGCACATAATCCATATAGTCCTCGTTGGCGGGCATGATATGGTGCTTCCGCATATACGCCATCATCTTCGTGGTGAAGTCGACAGTTTCCAGAAACTTAGCCGGCCAAGAGGTCCCGCGCTGACACACGCGCGCTTGTCTGCAGGTGCCTAGCCAGTTCAGGATAGACAAGCCATCAATCCAGTCGGGCAGGTGCCAGCACAGCAGCCGCCCAGTCTCTTCTGCCAGCTCCATGGTATTTTCGTGCGCTTGCGGCGTTTTGTCAAGAACTGCAACACCCCGAGTCATTGATGGTTGTGTTTCTGGCTCCCTCACCTCGGAGCAGAGTCAAGATTGAACAGCCACAACTTGCTTGAACACTTGTGAAGGACCACTAGTGCTTGCAAGAGGTGCTGCTGATGCGGGAGGCGAGCTACTTATCCAAGATTTGAGCCAACGTGCAGCAGCGATTGCAGCCTGGAATATACAGGAAAAAGCAGCAAGCCAACCTACCAAACATTGCATGTCAGTGCGCAAGAAGCTGACGACTTTGTGTTTGCCACGTCCGACTCTGAGCTGTGGCAAGGTGAAACCCAGCTGCTGTGAACTGTAGACGAAGACCTGTCTAGAACTTCTGTCGCGCCGAACAAACGCCTGTACGCGCGTGGCGCCGACATCTTGCCACATAGATTCTGCCGTGTGATGCCCTAAGCAAAAGTAGAACTGTGGGCCTCACTTCGCTGGAGTGAAATGATCCTCCGTCAAGATGCCCGCCAACAGGAAGTCCTTGTAGTAGCCGACCCTACTGATGGCAGTGTAGGCCGCGGCAGGCACCTTCGGGGCATCCAGGTAGACGACGACGTGAGGCAGCTCGGCGCCCTGGAACTTCAGGATGGTGGACGCATAGCCCGGCCGGACCGGGTAGTAGACCAAGCCGCCCCTCTCCGGGTCGGTCCACGGCCAGACGCTGACCACGAACCCGGTGGCAGTGCGCACCAAGAGGCCGCCCGTGCCTTCGTCGTACTTCAGCACCGTGGCCTCCATGCCGTTGACGAAGTCGACGTCCTTCCGCACATTGCGGGTCAAGTACACCCGCATGCCCTTGTAGACAGGCATGGCGGAGGGCTCCAGCTCTGCAGGTGGCTTCAGCTTGCCTTGTACATAGTTCTCCGGATTGGAGTCCACGTCAGCTGGCAAAGTCGCAAGCGGAGGGTACTTCGGGAAGAGGGCTTTCAAAGCAGTTGCATTGACCACAGCAGCGCCCCGCCTGGTGCACGTCAGGATGGTCGTGTTGGGCTTGGATTTGAGGAGCTTCTGGAGTCCCTTCACCGTCGGCCGGCCCGGGGGCCGCCAAGCCATCTTCTTGCGGAGCTGCCGGAGGAGCTTGGCGTTCGGCTTGCCGGTCCTGAGTGTTGCCAGGAGCTTGGCGTGCGCTTTGTCCTTGCAGCGGTACATCTTGTGGAGGGCCACCCGGTAGCAGAGCGTGTTCCAGAGGCGCCCGTGCCAAGGCCGCTTCTCCCCCACGCCGGGCATCTGGTACCGGTCGCCCAGCAACGCCAGCGCTGGCACACGCTCTGCAGCTGCCCAGAGCTTCAAGATCTTCTCAAAGTTGACCATGTCCAGCTGCGAGAGCTCGTCCACGACGATGAGGGAGTACATGGTCAGCAAGGATGCTTCGCCGTGCTCTGCAGACTCGTGCAGGCCGAACGCAGCGTGGCAAGTGTCGATGTCCACCTTGTGGCCGTAGCGTGCCTTCATGCGGCTGGCCAACTGGGCGGTCGGCAAAGCCATCAACACCTTGCCGCCCTTGGCAAGGGCACGGTCGACGCAAGAGAAGACCACCGTGGTCTTGCCGGTCCCGGGCGGCCCCAGGCACACGTTGGCCTTGCTGCCCCGCGCCTCTTGTCGCAGACGATCCGCCTCGCCCTCGTCCTCTGCGTCCTCGATGGCCAGCGCTCTGTCCACTGCGGTGTCCACGAGCTCCTTGAAGCCTCGGAAAGCCAGAGAAGAATTCTATAAGTGCAGGCGTGCGCGAACGTAAAATTACACAAGACATCTCCGCCAGATTTTTTAATGCAGACGAGGCACGGAGTTGCTGTCTGTTGAACTTGCTGGCATCCACGGGGCCTGTTTTCTTCTTGGGGGCCTTTGTCTTGCCGCGGCACTGCTCCTGGGTTTGCCGGTCCTTTCGGGCATCCAGGGAGCCATCGAGGTATTCCTGAAGCAAGCCGCGGTGCGCACGGATCATGGCCAGGATGGTGTCCACGTGGTCCTTGGTGTGCGCTTCCATCTTCAGCTCCGCACGGATCTTCTCGTCGTCCTGCCACATGGCCTGCGCCACCGGGTGCTCGCAGAGGATTGCCATGGCGAAGTACTTGTGTGCCTCCGGAAGCCGTTGGGCGACGTGCTCCGGCACGCAGAAGTCCGTGGCTTTCTCGAAGGGGACATGAAGCATGAGCCACTGGCCAAAGTAGCGGTCGTTGAACTTGGAAACCGTCTCGGCGGCCACGACTTTCTCGCCTTGCATCACGTAGTTCGCAGCAAAGTCCTCCAGGGTGGCGCCGCTGCCAGACTGCACGTGCTTCTTCTGGAGCCAGTGACAGATCTTCCCCTCGGCCGTGGTCTTGCGCAGGTAATCGAGCAAGCTGATGCGGCCGCGAGCCCATTCCGCCTGCTCGTACAGCTCCACCTCGCGGAGCTTGGGCTCCTGGTCTGGGTAAGGCGCCACCACGTCGCGCTTGCCGCCGCTCTGCGTGGAGAGGTGCCACTGGCGGAACTTGGCGCCGAAGAGCTGCAGCACCATCTCGGGCTCCAGCGGCCGGTAGCGCATGAGGACGGTCGCGGCGATGCTCATGGCGTCGGCGTCATCGTTGAGCCACTCCTCGCTGGCCGCGTCCGAGAACTTGCTGACGTATTTGGTGACATAGGCGCGGAGCAGGCCGTCGTCGTCGCACATCTGGAAGTCTTGGTGGCAGCGGAGCACCTCCATGAGATCAACGAGGTAGGGGCGCAGGCCTTCCGCATGGTCGTCCTCCGTGTGTTGCAGGAGCCACGTGCCCGCGTCACGATCGAAGCAAGTCGGTTCTTCGTGGACAGGCCAGCCGCTCTTCTTGTCCCGGTCGTACTGGCTGCCTTCGACATAGCCACGAAGGTCCGCGTCTTCGGGCAAAGTGGCAGACACGGTCTCGGCCAAATCTAGCTGCTCCACGTCTTCAGGCTTCACGAAGATGACGACGTGCACGTGGACTCGGCCCGAGCCGTGGTAGTCCTGCGTGGCTGCCTTGCGAGTGCCATCCTGATATTCCAGGCGCATGAAGAAGTGCAGGCGGCGGGCCTGGCCCTGCCCATCAACAACGCGGAAGGTGTTGCTCTTCCACGCTTTGCGCCCGTGTCCCCCCGTCTGCCCCAGCAGCAAGCCTTTCACGGCCTGGACCATGACGTGCACCATGTGCAGCGTCTCCGCCGCCGGCAGGAAGAGGCGCTCCTTGAGCATCTTCTGCATCTCGTCGCGGACCCACTCGTGGTAGGGGAAGCTCCATTCGTAGGGGGCGATGGTGAAGAAGATGCGAGGGTAGCCGACCTGCCGCACCATGTCTAGCAAGGCGTAGTGCACTCCACGCCAATAGTGAGGGCTGAAGGCCTCGCCCTTGAGCATGAGGCGCATGGGCGTCGGCAGCTGCAGATTCTTCTTGGAACCGATGCTGCTCCAGAGGTTGAGGTCATAAACAAACTGGAGAAGCTCGAAGTTCGCAGCGTAGCCCAGCAGACGACCCAACGCCAAGGCGGCAAAGAGACGTTTCATGCTGTGGCGTGTGGCGTCATTTGCTTCTGCGTCCTCCGCATTTGCCACCTGGCTCTCCTCTTCGCTGTCGTCGTTGCCCTCAACCTCCTCATCGCTGTCTGCAGCAGGAAAGGCTGCACGCCCAGCGGGCCGACCGGCGTTCAGCACGTCCTCCAAGGTGGCTGCCCGCTCCTGCCGAATCACCCGCCTGGGATCCGTGGCACGCTCGTGAGTGAAGGTGCGCTTCACATCCCAGAACAAACCAGGCCAGAGGGCGCACTCCACGCCGACACGTTCAATGAATTGCAGCCGGCGACGGCGAGTGAGCTCGTCGGCGCCGGGGTGTTCTTCCAGAAACTCCGCATGCTCGGCCACAAAGGTCGCATAGGGTGTGTCATCCGAGGCCATCAAGAAGTCGTAAGCTGCGCGGGCCTTCGTCCGCATGTTCACGTCCTGGCTATGTCAGCGAGCAAATGCGTTGCTGAAAATATCGACTTGTAAGTAGTACTCTAGGAAACCTGTGTACTCTACGCCTGGCCTGCAGGTGCTTGATGCGCTTCTTCACTGTAGTCGTTTGCCAGCGGAAGCGGATCATGGTCGTCTTCTGGCGGTAGCCGGATTTGTGCTCTGCACGCACGACCGGGCCCACATCGATCTCCAAGGGCGACAATGCCTGCGCAGCCTCTGCAGACAGCTCCCGCAGAACCTCTGGCACATCAGCCAGCGTCACCACCGGCTGCACGCGTGCAGCTTTGCATCTGGAGCACTTGCCTGAAGGATTGGTGGGTGGCTGGGGCTTGTTGAGCGTGCTCTCTGTGAGGTCGCGAGGCGCGAGGAGGCCGCAGTTCTCACACATGCTCCAGGAGTCGAAAAGGCACCAACGCTCGAAGTCCTCGGCCAGCCGGCGGCGCTTCGCCGGGGGCAACCCAGTGGTATTCTCGACGGCCTCGCCAGCTGGCGTTCTCTTTGAAGGCTGGCCCATACGGCGCCGTGCCCGAGCCCTGTCTGCCAGAACCTGCTCTCGATATTTCTTCTTTGTCGCAGCCGACGCCGGGGCTGCAGCTGTCTGCCGCGATGCCAGGGCACCTCTCCACAAGACGGGGAGCTCCTGCCTGTCCAGCGGGCGTCGGCCGCCCCGCCCAGCCGCGCGCTTGGGCGCCGGACCCTGCAGCTGCGCTTGAAAATATTCCACCGCGTCGGGCGGCAGGCGCTCTTCCAAAGCACGGGCGCGGGCAACCACTGACAAGCGCCGGAGCTTGCCCAGCACCTGTGTGTGCATATGCGCTCATGTTCCGCTCTATGCTACAAATATTGCGCAGAACAGAACGAAAGAGACTTTGTCGGGTGGCCCCGCCTCTCGCTTGCCAGCTTCCGCCGCGCACAATGGCCACAGATCTTCAGGTCGACAGAATAGGCAGCGTGCGCTGCGACCCATCACCTGAGCTGGGCCTCCGCGTGCTGCAAGAGCAAAGGTGCAGCGCTCGCCATTCATGCCCACGCACACCCATGGCTTGGCCAGCTCTGCCTCGAAGTAGCCACGGAAGTCCTCCGGCACCCGCTCCAAGGCAAGGCGTTGGTACTCGGGCGTCAAGGCCAACAGCAAGCGCTTGATGTGTCCACGCGACCGTGGCTGAGCACAGGCCGCGGCCAAACGATCTGGATTACCACAGAAGACCTCAGGCAGCAACGCAGCTTGGTTAAAAATGCATGCCTCTTTTGCAACTTCTTGCTTGCGCAGACAGTTCTACAGCAGTTCATCTCTGCCATCAAGGCGCGCATGCAGGAAATGCACCTCGCTGCGCTGCGCGGCCTGGGCTTTGCGCCGAGAAGCAACAAGGAGAAGCCGCTGTGCCAGGACACACGGAGGGCATGGCTCTGAAAAGTGGAAAACTCCTGAGATCGACGAAGTATGCACAAGAACTCGAGCCAGGGCAGAGCGAGAACACAAATCAAACCTGTTCCTCCAATCAGCAGGCTAGACTGGCTAGATTGAAGAAGTATAAGGCTCCGAAAGCAGCGCAGGGCGTGACAAGGCACGGGCACACAGTCGCTTTTTTGCGTCTGATCGGGAGCACGTTGAGGTGTGTGGTGCTGTACAGTGGGCTGCGCCTGTGCTGGTCTTGTGCTGCCACGACTTTGAACACGATGGCCTGCGGCTACTCACTCCTCTCCTGGCTCATTCTCCAGAGCCTCGATGACCACAGGCGCCTCTGGCGGTCATCCCTCCTCGCACGAGCCGGCGTCCGCCGCCAGCCGGGCCTGCTCATGAATGCTCTTCGCCTTGGCCACCATGTCCTGCATGGTCTCGAAGATATTGATCAGCTTGTCCTTCTTCGGCAGGCGTGTCATCTGCTTCAACGTCTGCAGAACCTTGGCCAGCCCATGCTCCGTCAGCACGGCCTCGGGCACGTTATCCAGGAGAGCGACCAGCACGTACAATGGCAGCCTATTCTTTTTGTTGTCCTGGTTTGCAACCATGGTCTGCAACTCATCCGCAAACTTGGCCACCTCGGACTCTGCCCAGGACAGATGCGGGTCGAGCCCCGGAGTTTCTGCCTCCTCCTCCTCTTCCTGATCCTCCAAGGAAAGCTCAACGGCCGCCGGCCTTGCCGATGTCGCCCGCTTCTTCGGAGCTTCGGCTTTCTTCAGTTTCTTCTTCTTCTCCTGCTTCTTCTTCTTCTTCTCATCACTTCCATGGGAGTGGGAAGACGAGGAGGAGCCGGACTTGTGGTCGCTTTCGCTTCCAGATTCCTTGGCTTCGGAGTTGTTCTCCGACTCAGACCCGGACTCCTCCTTGCCAGCTGCTTCCTCGCTGCTGTCTCCGAAGGCCCGTTTCTTGCGGGGAGCTTTCGCTTCCAGGCGAGCCGCGTTCGTCGCCGCGACGGCTTCCACGCAACTGTCCAGAGTCTTCTTCTGGATGAACTTCCGGATGGGTTTGTCCTGCTTGGACTCGTCCGGGATCTTCTTTGCCCACGCCTTCGGATTGGACGCGAGAGTGCAAAGCTCCAAACCAGCCATAGCGCCAGCGTACATGCGTGAGGCTGTGTCTGCCAGTCGAGCGAAGTCCTTCACCCGTTGCTGCAGAGCCTCCTTCTTCCCAAGCTTCTTGAGCACCTTCTCGGCGTGCGGCTTCAAAGAAGATGCAGATGAGCACGCCTTGTTTGACAGGTTGACGGCCGCCAAAGCACTGCCCAAGGGCTCCAAGAGCTTCTTGACAGCTGGAATTCCAGTTTGCCCAAACTTCTTCTCAGACGATGAAGGAAGCACCGCCAAGGCAGCTGCGCAGGATTCCAACGAGGCAGAGGCCATGCTGACGCCCAGGCCTGGCCGAGCGATGCACTCCGAGGTCTCTGCTGTAAGCTGCTCGGTCAGCGTGGAGGTGGTGAAGTATTCCGTCGGCGCTTGCTTGTCCGTTAGGAGCACGCAGCCATCCTCATCGGGCCAGCTGCGGAGAAACGCTTTCAGGGGCAGCTTGTAAAACGGTACACCTGGAGGGTATTTGCCCTTCGCCTTGCCATCCTTGGCGATGTGCTTGCCTGTCGATTTCCGTGGGACCCACTTGCCCATGGCTGCTGCAAGTCAATGACCTAAAACTCGACTACTAAAGCTGGAAGCTCTCACTTTTGCGCAGCACAGCTATCGGAACGGCCCCACGCTGCTGCTGAATTCAGTAAAGTCACAAAGCATGGCAATGATTTTTCTCAGTTGCGCGCGAACAAAGTCATGCGGCAGCAGACCACAGTCATGTGGCAGCAGTGGGGATCGTATTCTGCTGCGCTTGAAATTCTGGGTCACGTATGGACTAGCAGTCTCGAACGAGCCCTCCAAGGATTCAATGCAATGTTGTTATTTTGAAGAAAAAGCAAAGCTTGCAGACCGGCAGCCCAAGTTGCAGCTGCACCCATCAATCTATTTGTCTTCATTGTCCTCGACTCGAAGCAGCCCTTCCCAAAGTCCAGGTCTTGAACAAGCCCTCCAGGTAGTCCTCCTTCTTCGCCCCATGATAGGCTGGTGCTTCATTCCAGCGTCCGCGCACAGACAAAGGATGCAATGCAACGCTGTTATTTACAAGAAAGAGCAAAGACTTGCTGAGACCAGGTCACCCCGCGCCCGAATCACCTCAAGAATGGATCACCCCAACGACTGGGTCACCTCAGAGCTGGGCATGCCAGAACTGAGTCACCCCAGCGTTGGGTCACTCCAAAAGCTTGAGTCACTTCAGGATTGGGTCGCCCAGCCTTGTCTGCAGCCGAAGGTGCTTTGCCCAAGCGTTCTATTTATCTTGAATGTCCTCGATTCGAACGAGCCCTTCACAAAGTCCAGGATTTGAACGAGCCCTTCAGCAGGAAGTCCTCCTTCTTCGCCCCGTGATAGACTGGCCTGGCAGACAAGGGGTTCAATGCTGTTATGCTTTAAAACGAAAACACAATGTCTTGCTAAGATCAGCACCCGAAGTTGCACACATCAATCTATTTGTCTTCAATGTCCTCGACTCGAACCAGCCCTTCACAAAGTCCAGGTCTTGAACGAGCCAGTCCTCCTTCTTTGTCCCCGGGATAAGCAAACTGGCCCTCCAGGAAGTCCTCCTTCTTTGTCCCCGGAAGAAACAAACTGGCCCTTCAGGAAGTCCTCCTTCTTTGTCCCCGGGATAAGCAAATTGGCCCTCCAGGAAGTCCTCCTTCTTTGTCCGGCCCTCCAGAAAGTCCTCCTTCTTTGTCCCCGGGAGAAACAAACTGGCCCTCCAGGAAGTCCTCCTTCTTTGTCCCCGGGATAAGCAAATTGGCCCTCCAGGAAGTCCTCCTTCTTTGTCTCCGGGAAAAGCAAACTGGCCCTCCAGGAAGTCCTCCTTCTTTGTCCCCGGGACAAGCAAACTGGCCCTCCAGGAAGTCCAGGAAGTCTTCCTTCTTTATTGCCGGGATAAGCAAACTTGCCCTCCAGGAAGTCCTCCTTCTTCGTCCCCGGGAAAAGCAAACTGGCCCTCCAGGAAGTCCTCCTTCTTTGTTTTCAAGATAAGCAAACTGGCCCTCCAGAAAGTCCTCCTTCTTTGTCCCCAGGACAAACAAACTGGCCCTCCAGGAAGTCCTCCTTCTTTGTCCCCGGGAAAAGCAAACTGGCCCTCCAGGAAGTCCTCCTTCTTTGTCCCCGGGAAAAGCAAACTGGCCCTCCAGGAAGTCCTCCTTCTTTGTCCCCGTGAGAAGCAAAATGGCCCTCCAGGAAGTCCTCCTTCTTTGTCCCCGGGACAACCAAACTGGCCCTTCAGGAAGTCTTCTTCTTTGTCCCCGGGACAAGCAAACTGGCCCTCCAGGAAGTCCTCCTTCTTTGTCCCCGGATAAGCAAACTGGCCCTCCAGGAAGTACTCCTTCTTTGTCCCCGGGAAAAGCAAACTGGCCCTCCAGGAAGTCCTCCTTCTTTGTCCCCGGATAAGCAAACTGGCAGTCCAGGAAGTCCTCCTTCTTTGTCCCCGGGATAAGCAAACTGGCCCTCCAGGAAGTCGACAAGCAAACTGGCCCTCCAGGAAGTCCTCCTTCTTTGTCCCCGGGATAAGCAAACTGGGCCTCCAGGAAGTCCTCCTTCTTTGTCCCCGTGACAACCTCCAGGAAGTCCTCCTTCTTTGTCCCCGGGACAAACAAACTGACCCTCCAGGAAGTCCTCCTTCTTTGTCCCCGGGAAAAGCAAACTGGCCCTCCAGGAAGTCCTCCTTCTTTGTCCCCGGGATAAGCAAACTGGCCCTCCACAAAGTCCTCCTTCTTTGTCCCCGTGACAAGCAAACTGGCCCTCCAGGAAGTCCTCTTTCTTTGTCCCCGGAAAAGCAAACTGGCCCTCCAGGAAGTCCTCCTTCTTTGTCCCCGGAACCTTTAATAAGTCCTCCTTCTTTGTCCCCGGGATAAGCAAACTGGCCCTCCTTCTTTGTCCCGTCATAAGCAAACTGCCCCTCCAGAAAGTCCTCCTTCTTGGCCCCTGGGATACGCAAACTGGCCCTCCAGGAAGTCCTCCTTCTTTGTCCCCGGGATAAGCAAACTGGCCTTTTGGAAGTCCTCCGTCGTTATCCCTGGGATAAGCGAACTGGCCCTTCAGCAAGTCCTCCCTCTTTGTTGCGGGAAAAGCAAACTGGCCCTCCAGGAAATCCTCCTTCTTTGTTTCCCGGATAAGCAAACTGGCCCTCCAGGAAGTCCTCCTTCTTCTCCCGGGATAAGCAAACTGGCCCTCCAAGAAATCCTCCTTCTTTCCCCCGTGGGATAAGCAAATTGGCCCTCCAGGAAGTCCTCCCAGGAATTCCTCCTTCTTTGTCCCCGGATAGGCAAACTGGCCCAGGAAGTCCTCCTTCTTTGTGCCCAGGATAAGCAAATTGGCCCTCCAGGAATGGCCCTCCAGGAAGTCCTCCTTCTTTGTCCCGGGAAAAGCAAACTGGCCATCCAGGAAGTCCTCCTTCTCTGTCCCCCGGGACAAGCCAATTGGCCCTCCAGGAAGTCCTCCTTCTGGATAAGCAAACTTGTTTCCAGGAAGTCCTCCTTCTTTGTCCCCGGGATAAGCAAATTGGCCCTCCAGGAAATCCTCCTTCTTTGTCCCCGGGAGAAGTCCTCCTTCTTTGTCCCCGGGATGCAAGTCCTCCTTCTTTGTCTCCGACTGGCTCTCCAAAACATCCTCCTTCTTTCCCACCATGCTTTGTCCCGCAGCAATCCTCCTTCGGATAAGCAAACGGGCTCAGGAAGTCCTCCTTCCTTGTCCTCGAAAAAGCAAACCTCCCATTCCGGGCCTTAATTTCAAGTCCTCGCCTAGGGGGCGGTTTTCAAGCCTGCCCGGTCGTTTGCAGCTGGGTTTAGGGCTATCTTTATATAGGCTGACAGAAGCGGCCTATTCGAGCGCCGCGTGGACCTGAGGTCCAGGACCCTACGGCTCGCCTTTCGGCCTTCGCCTACGGGTCCGCAGGCCCCTGCCGGTGGCCTGCTAACGACCGGCCCCTATCGCTGGAAAGGGGGCCGGTCTTCAGTTTAGGGTTTAGGGTTTAGGGTTTAGGGTTTAGGGTTTAGGGTTTAGGGTTTAGGGTTTAGGGTTTAGGGTTTAGGGTTTAGGGTTCAGCAGCTCTGGGTCGAGCAATCTCTAGTAGAGCCGCTGTCTGGACTCTAGAAAAAAACCCACCCACCCAGAGAATCCCAAAACATTAAGAAATATAAAGTTCACATTTTTCCTCAGCAAGCCCTGTCCTCCAACCTCATTTATTCATTCTGCTCGTGTTCTTTGTCATTCTGCTTGTTTTCCATTCTGCTCGTATGCGTTTCTTTCTGCTCGTATTCATTCTGCTCGAATTCGTTCTTTTTCTGATCTGCTCGTCTCGTGTTCGTTCTCGTTCTGCTCGTATTCATTCTGCTCGTATTCGTTCTCTCTCTGCTCGATTTCAGTCCGCTCGTTTTCGTTGTTTTTCTTCTCGTATTCATTCTGTTCGTATTCGCTCTCTCTCTCTGCTCGATTTCAGTCTGCTCGTCTGCGTTCTCTCTCTGCTCGTAATCATTCTGCTCGTATTCGTTCTCTTTCTGCTCATCAGCTCTGGGTCGAGCAATCTCTAGTAGAGCCGCTGTCTGGACTCTAGAAAAAAACCCACCCACCCAGAGAATCTGATCTGTTCGTTCTCGTTCCTGCTCGTATTCATTCTGCTCGTATTCGTTCTCTCTCTGCTCGATTTCAGTCCGCTCGTTTTCGTTGTTTTTCTTCTCGTATTCATTCTGTTCGTATTCGCTCTCTCTCTCTCTCTCTGCTCGATTTCAGTCTGCTCGTCTTCGTTCTCTCTCTGCTCGTAATCATTCTGCTCGTATTCGTTCTCTTTCTGCTCATATTCATTTTGCTCGTGTTCGTTCTCTTTCTGCTCGTATTCGTGCTTTTTCTGCAGGCTCTCTGCTCGATTTCAGTCCGCTCGTTTTCGCTGTCTTTCTGCTCGTACTGAGTCTGCTCGTACTCATTCTATTTCTGCTCGTATTCATTCTGCTCGTATTCGTTCTCTCTCTGCTCGACGTCAGTCTGCTCGTATTCGTTCTCTTTCTGCTCATATTCACTTTGCTCGTGTTCGTTTTCCCCGGTGACCCTGCCTATTTTTGGCCGTCTTGTTGGTTGTGTTTGGCACACTTTAAGCTGCCTGGCTTCCACATGGTTGCTTTCCAGTTAGTGCCCCGGTGACCTCGCCTCATGTTGGCTCCTGCTCGTAGGGTTTGATGAGAGGCCTAGAGGTTTGTCGTATGTCCCCTCTCTTCGTGCTCGTAGGGTTTGTCGTATGTCCCTCCCTTCATGCTCGTAGGGTTTGATGAGAGGTCTACAGGTTTGTCGTACGTCCCCTCCCTTCGTGCTCTTAGATTTTGTCGTATGTCGCCTCCCTTCGTGCTCGTCGGCTTTGTCGTATGTCCCTCTTTGTCTGCTTGCAAAGAATCCCAAGAATTAAGAAACTGAGGTTTTATTTTCAGAGGTTTGTCGTATGTCCCCTCCCTTCGTGCTCGTCGGCTTTGTCGTATGTCCCTTTTCTTCTGCTTGCAGAGAATCCCAAAACATTGAGAAATGTGCGGGTTTATTTTAGAGGTTTGTCG